TGTAACTTCCATACGTGAAAATTTTACCGCCAGAAGCCTCAACAGCAGCAGGAGACAAACCCTTCTTGCGACTGACGACTTGAACGAATTCCACTGTGACGCGCTGTAGTAACTGGAGCACTTGTTTTCTATTCCGCAATGTCAGCCCCAGAGCTCTGGTGCGGTTATTGTTGAGATGCGAACACACCTCCGTTCCGTTTCAGTCGGGAGCTCGAAGTTGTTCTGAGCCTTGAGCTCGGCGATGAGATCGTCGTTCGCCGCAAGCTCGTCCTTGGTCGGCAGGACGGTCGAGATCGGGGGTGTAACACCCCACTGTCGGACAGGTGGCGTAGCCATTGTGGGGAGGAATTCGAGATTGTAAGGTTAGTCTCACAAGCCGTGTGAAAATAGGGAGGATTAGATAACGCGAGCGGAGAAGGTCGACGAGCTTCCCGAGGTAAGCAGCCCAGGAAGGAATTAGATGCTGCTAGGAAAATGAAAAAGAACAATCAATGGGAACAAATACAATTCTCTGAACGAAACCGGAAGAAAAGAAAGAAAAACGAAGAGAAATGAAATGAAGAAGGATGTTGGTCGCTGCGCAAGGTTCATCGGCGCTTCGCAGGGCCAGGGCAGGCGCTTACTCAGCGTCACGTGGTCAATATATCTACTGTTTTCTGGCGACGACGAGAGAACATTACGATTTCAAGAGATCACATTCATGACTAAACCATATTGACAGAACGCTAACATGTCATATTATGTGTCTTTGTTATTAAAGTGTGTTCTGGAGCTTCCCGGCTAGAGAATTCACGCTACCACCTTCGTTCTCTGCGAAAAATTGAGAGAGCTTGTTATCAAGCCATTCAACATCCTGCGCACTATCGCCTGGACCTCCTGCCCAATCTGTAAAACAAGTCAGTTCCTTCTCTACTTGTAATTGTATTGGTATACTCACGACCCCAGATCGAAGGGAAGACATCTAGTGTCCCAATGCCTGGCTTCATACAAGCAACCTCGTACTCCGAATCCTCAGGCCTAATATGATGTAATTCTCAGCCTAACCTCACTTTTACCAAGGGGGAGAATATATGAGATGAACTCACGGGAAGTAGAGATCGGTTTTTGACGGCAAAACCAGCGCTTTTGCGTTGATAGATGCCATCGCCTTTTCAAAGTCTCCATTGTATGGATCTTGCTGCGAGACATCACCAATTTGCCAGGTCTGCAACAAAACCAACAGATTTTCAGGGTCTGTAGAGCACTTGTCAGTTCTCCGATATAACCGGTTCGATGGGATCAAACAGAACCTTTAGAACAAGCCCATTTCTCCCAGAAGTTGACCATGAAGTCTTCAAGTCCCTTGAAACCCAACACGGTTTCATACAACTTGCCTCGATAGAAAGCCTGGCTAAATCCCCTGTTTTCAACGTGTCAGATAAGGGATAAAAATCAAAAATCAACACAGAATCTCATACCATCCAGCATACACACGGCCCAATGCCCTGAGGCCAACATCCTTCTCTTCAGCTGTCCAAGAATGCGCTTCCGCCGTCTCTCTATTAAGGCCAATCTCTCCCGACCCGGCAGATCGACTCTTCTTCACCGCAATCAAGGAGCTCTTGACACCTTCCAGAAAGACCTGATTGTGCAGCGAGGTTTTCGCAGCCGTGCAAAAGGGAACCACAAGATCCATGAAGTCGGGATACTGCGTTGCCCACTGGAATGCCTGGGCACCTCCCATAGACCAGCCAAGAACGGCGCGCAAATGCTTGATGCCCAGGTGTTTGGTAACAAGCTCATACTGCGCCCGCACATTGTCGTAAAATGACACCTTTGGGAATGGCCCAGGGCTCGGCTGGTTGGATGGAGAGGAAGACTGGCCGTTTCCGAATAGGGCTGGCACTATGATGAAGAAATTGTTCGGGTTTAGGAGCTTGTCGTCTCCGATCAACCAGAAGTTATCGGAGAGAGCTGGAGACAGTATCAGCAGTGTTGGGGCAGAGAAAGGATCGTATCTGAATATACCTCCGGAAAACCAAGTTGGATAGACAATAGCTGGAGACTTCGGATCGCCGAATGTCTTGTATGCGATATGAGCATCCTCGATCTTCTCTCCGCTCTGCAGCTCCCAATCCCCAAGCTTGAAAGTCTCGTATTGTTCCTGTGACATAGTTGCGTGGGTTTCAGATGGAAGCAATGAGGTAGTTTACACTTTTGATAAATGGGTGTCCACCAATTTATAGATCTACTGTTGGAGATACTTATCAACCCCGCTCTGCCCTCCGCACGGCTGGAGTCGGAGCTGCTTATCCTCCGTCAACTTGATATCTATATGTATGAAACATCTTATCAAGAAGGAGATTCGGGATATATACTATATCCGGACAATCCTAGAGGTTGAAGTTATCTAATCAGGCACTTTCCGAGCTCTCATTCAAAAATGAACCCTTCCTTCGGGGTCACACCGGGGAGGTCAATAGCTCAGCGCAGTGAACAGGCGGTTGAAATTGACCGTAGGGAAATCTTATATGGCGCGCTGAATTCTCATTGCTAGTCTCGGCGCAAACTTCCGCCATCTCTCAATCGGCCTCTTGAAATCCAATCGGTTCGCAATCGAGACGTCAATAACCCAATTATCACTACCAAGGCTTTTATTTCACGAGGAAATGGAAATTATTGTAAATATAACAAAAGCGAGCTTGTTCTTGAAAGGAAACTGAGACAAAATATTGTACATCGTGTGTGGGGGATGGACAAGGCGTAAAACAAAAGGAATTCTAAGGGTAGTCTCTACAATCCTCCCGAGCATATTAGACTCGAATCGTCTATTTACCGATCTCAACACCGCCAGTGGCACCGAGCATACGCTTGATGTCACCGTAGATGGCGAACTGACCGGCGGTGATGGAGCCGACCATGAAGAGACGGGCACCAATACCACCGTAAGAGCCACGGATACCGAGCTCCTTGGCGATCTTGATCAGACGGGTAACGGTACCCTCACCAGGAGCACCGGGGGTCTTGTTGATCTTGGAGAGCATGGTGTCAGCGGGCTGGGAGATGATGGCGGCGGCGAGACCAGCGACGAGACCGGAGCCGAGGTTGATACCGGTCTTGGCACCGTCGGAGAGAGTCTCCTTGTTGACGCGGGAGAGGACGGCCTCGGAGACCTTCTCGAAGACGACGAACTTGGCCATGGTGTAGGGGACCCTGTGGGAAATCGAGTTAGTGGGAATTACATCGGATATATACCCGAAGCGGGCAGAGAAAAAAAAAAAACTTACTGCTTGAACAGGATAGGTCCGAATCCAGAGTAGAAGGCACCGATACCCTCCTCCTTGAGGATGCGGGTCATGGCAGGGAGAAGACCGCTGGCGAAGGTAGGCTGGGAGACAAGACGGATACGGGTAGCCTCGAGAGGGCACAGAGCGATATCAGCAATGAACTCAGCGGCACCGGCAGAGGCGAGGTAGACGGCGGTGCGGTTGTTCTTGGCAGTCTCGTAGCCGACGGCGTTGATGGACTGCTGCTTGAAGAACTCGTATCCACCGAACTTGAAGGCACCCTGGAGGAAGTAACCGGCGGCGGTGGGACCGAATCCAGTCAGGAGAGCGCCAGCACCCTCGTTCTGGACGACCTGCTTGAAGCCACCGAGCATACCACGGTTGTAGGTGACGGGGTCAAGCTGGATACGGGTCTTGACGCTGTAAAGGACCGGAAATGAGCGGAAATTCTTCTTCGCGCGCCGGCGACAGATTCAAAAACTTACACATCGAGAGGAGTGGCAGCACCGTGGGTGACAGCGCAGCAGACGGCACCAGCGAAAGCGAAGCGGGAGTACTGGAAGCAAGAATCGGGTCAGTTAAAGCTTGGTATTTTCAGGGTTCGCAACATACGAGGTTGAGAGCGCTCATCTCCTCCTTGGGGGCGACAGGGACAGCCATTTTGATTAATGTGAGATAACGTAAAGAATAACGTCAAAGAGAGGAGAGGATGGAATGGTCAATTGAAGCCTTAGAGAGAGGAAGAGAAGAAGAAAGGATTTCAAAGGGATGGGACCGCCGAACCCGAAAACTTTTCGCGGCCAATGCGGTAGCCGCTCGGCAGCCACACACTCAACTCCGATCGCCCGGTCAACCGTATAGCGTCTTGCTAATCTTTTCTACATGGATGGGTGAATGTTATGCATGTTGTTATATTGATCCTGATTATCATCAAACCCCAACTTGAGGTTGATATTGGCTATTATTAGACGTGGATTTTGGTGGTTGGAGCTCGTTGCCGGGAATAGGCGGGATAAGGAACCGCAAAGGGATTTGATAGGAGGCACACTTCCAAGCTGGCTCTGGACATCGAATTTATTCAAGGCTTGTGGTGATGGAATTGAACTGTTTGTATAGCGCATATTGCACTGTATGCTACTCCGTACATATATCGAACTCATTGCGCTATCAGAGGTGGAAGATTCAATGTTGTTACCAGCCACAGCCCTCTACGTCACTGTGGACACGTATTAGCTGACATGTCAGGGTGGATATTTGCGGCCATTGCGGCCATTGGAGTATAACAATTGGAGCTATGAGTTATATGGGTACATGGAGAATTAACTATTGTTCTGTAATTTATGATATAATCACATTTTAATATGCTATCTGAACTATGATTGAAGGTATGTGAAATATTGATTGGATACAAAGTAAGAGCTGTGAAGTATATACAAGTATGACAGCATAAATTATTTCTAAAAAAATCAAGGCACTTCAAAGCCGTATGTTGTGATGGCCTTAAACCCCACTGTAGGACCTTGGATTAGCGTGCTCAGGTTATCAACTAGCACTATAGGTCAAAAGCTATGCAACCTTGGAAATCAGAACCAATGAGATCAGCAGATAAAGGCCACGAGGCCATATTCACAGATGATAAGAGACAATTAGCCCCTCGAATTTGAAACAGAATATTAAAACATCACTACTCCCCTTCATCATATACGAAAACATATTTCTGATCCATCTCCCAAAATGGTCGCCATCACAGATGATATTTTTGCCTCTCGGCTTGCTATCCTACAAGACCTATTCAGCGACAGTGTATCTGCACAGCACGCCGCTGAACATCTGGCTTCAATCTCCTTGGCAGATGAATCAGACCTCGAGGGGGGAATTACCAGCCTATGGAGCTTGATCTTCAAGTGTGCATACAATTTCCCCGAGCACCACGATAAACTGGTCAATGTGCTAGTTCAACTATCAAAACTCCCAAACGCAAAGAAATCAAATGGGGACTCCATTGTGCTCTACGATATGCAAGTCTGGAAAGACCTACCCATGCTAGGCTGGCAATTCCGGGACGAGTGGAATGCAGGCGTACCTGATGGACCTCCTGACGCCCGTCAAAAAGCAATTTCGCAAATTATCAACCGGGATAAATTCACGGCACGCTTGATGGCAACCAAAGAACCTGTCTTTGCATACTCCTGGTTTGCATTGATTACCCTGCGCGAGGCACTGGAAACACCAGCACACGAATACTCTCCGGGGAAAGTAGAAGCATTGATTCGGGCTGCCGCTGCGTGGATCAGTATTCTCGGGGCAGACATCTACCAGTGGAATGAAGGGTTTGATGGCGCTCTGGGTAAAGGAGGCCCGCTCTGGAAAGGCCAATGTGGGTTTTCTAAGGAGAGGTGGCAGTTCTGGAAGGAAAGATTTGGGGAGTTGGCTACGATCGAGCTGGAGGAGACTGGAGAAGAAGAGAGAACGGCAGCATGGGACGCGAAGCGGATGATGGAGGAAATTGAGAAGTGAGACGTGAAACATGGAGCATCCACAGCTTTATCAATAGAACAAGATCTCCACGACTGTGAATGCATAAAATAATGAAAAGGGTCGGTTGGCCGCAAAGGTGACCCCCACGTTGTTGCCTCGCACGAGCCACATCTCCACTGTGGACACGCGTATTGACCATTTGTGACTGTTATTGCAACACCGCCAAGACATTTATTCTGAGCTCCAATCTTGCACCTTCCACGGTTGGGCGCTTTAGGCGCTTCATTACTCTCAGACCGCCACTCCTGGTTCCCATGATCCGATATCTTCCTTGCCCTACCCAGTATGTTGTATATATCTATTGTAGCTACACGTCAACTATGCATAACACTGATTCATCGCATTAAACATTGGCGTGGATATTCTAAGACTAGGATAGTTGAAATGTGCCATAAGAAGACTCCGACGAACCAGGAAGAGGAAGAGGTTGGTTTAAACATTAATGTGATCTTCCACAGAGCGGCGTTTGACGTTCAACCCAACGAGTAAGCGTTTCAATTTCTACCAGCCAACGTATATCGCACAGCAGGGTGTGTCAGTGTCACTCGTCAGTTTCGCCCAGCCCTGACTTTTGGGGAACATGATATAGTCGAGGATTGCTAGATGTTCTTGTCCTTCTCCCTACGCTGCGGAGAAGAACCAGGCCAAATTACATCAATACCATACTTTCAGCAATAGAGGCAAGTCTCGGTCAAATGCTGTCATTCCTAAGCTGCTTTTTGAAGATTCGGAGAAGGCCTAAGAAGTGGAGAGGGATCGAAGGTTCTCCAGTCTCTTTTGTCGGACTTGATAAAAAGCAGCTATGGTATCCCCCAGAAAACACACTTATGATGCAGGGGTTTGAATGGCACGTGCCAGCCGATCAACGCCATTGGCAGCGCCTCCGCAAGGCAATCCCCGATCTGAAAGACATCGGAGTTGATAATATCTGGATTCCTCCCGGGTGTAAAGGGATGGACCCATCTGGAATTGGGTATGATATTTACGATCTATATGATCTTGGGGAATTCGACCAGAAGGGCACCAGAGCAACGCGATGGGGTCCAAAGGAGGACCTCCAGAGATTGGTATGGGCTGCAAAGGATATGGATATTGGGATTTACTGGGATGCTGTTTTAAACCAGAAGGCTGGGGCAGATTCAACCGAGAATCTCTTAGTCGTCAAGATGGACCCAGAAGGTGATTTCTATTCCTGCTGACAAATGGAAGATGAGAGCGCTTATGGAGGTCAACGATCTTGCAGATCGGAACATTGAAATATCTCGACCGCTGACTATCGATGGTTGGGTTGGGTTTGACTTTCCGGGACGTGGGGAGAAATACAGCTCCATGAAGTATCACTGGCAACACTTTACTGGTGTGGACTGGGACGATGCGAGCCAGCAGAATGCAATATACAAGATACTGGGACAGAACAAAGACTGGGCGAAGGACGTGAGTGATGAGCATGGAAACTACGACTACCTAATGTTCGCCGATCTCGACCATTCCCACCCGGAAGTTCGAGCTGATATAATGAAATGGGGAGTGGATTGGCACTGAATTACCAACCAGTGGAATGCGAATCGACGCAGTAAAGCATTATTCCGCGTCTTTCCAAAAAGAATTTGACACATTTGCGCAATACTGTTGGCGCTGATTATTTCTTAGTTTCGGAGTACTGGAGAGGAGAGGTGGGTCTACTTCTGGGGTATCTCAAGTTAATGGATTATGGGGTCTCGTTGTTCGATGTGCCACTTTTGGGCCAGTTTGCAGCTATCTCGAAGATCGCAGGCGGTGATCTACGGAATATTTTCAAAGGCACGTTGGTAGAACAGATGCCGTCGCATGCAGTAGTAAGACCCAATTATTTTGGTAGAAAGGACTCCCACTAACCATCACTACCACGTCAGACTTTTGTTGGAAATCATGACACGGTATGTTGAAGTCCTGTGAGGATATGATGGAGCTTACAATCCTCTAGCAGGATGGACATTCATTAGAGGTGAGATAGACCAAAGCTTTAGCATTATACATCCTAGGGCGTGGATAGTAACTAAATACCCCAGCAGACTATCATTGCACCATTTTTCAAACCTCTTGCATACTCTTTAATCCTCCTCCGAAGCCAAGGGCAGCCATGCATTTTCTACGGAGACTTCTATGGAATCAATTGTGGATCCAAGCCTCCTGGGACATGCGGCGAAATGCTTCCCATACTCACGCGTGCGCGAAAGTTATATGCACACGGGAAACAACGGGACTACTTCAATAGACGGAACTGCATTGGTCAGTATCACTTTTTTGGATGTAGATTGCTTGTTCTTACGATTATACAGGATTCGTGCGCTACGAGAACTATAAACACCCGTTCAGTCTTGCCTGTATCCTTAGCAACGGTGGCGCATCCTCCAAGCGCATGTTTGTTGGTCACAGACATGCCGGGGAGTTGTGGACAGATATTCTTGGCTGGCAAAATGAGACGGTACTCATTAATAACTGCGGCTATGGAGTTTTCTCAGTGGCCAGCATGAGTGTCAGTGTCTGGGTTAATTCTCAAGCGGAGGGGAGGAATCGAATCAATCGGCCTTTGTAAGTTTCATACATCAAGAACAGTTATGTTCAGAAATCAGGCATTGAAATACTAACTAGTCTTTTCATTTTAGCAACGAGGATATATACAGCCTATAAGAGCTTATGTGACAGAATATCCTTGTGGTCAGCTGTAGATACTTGTGCTTCCTGAAAGTCGAAGACGCATCTAAGCGATGATATTACATACATTTAGCTCCCCTGTGAATATACAAATCTTGGATACTTGTGGGTCCTGGTGGTGCCTTATTGCCTGTGTACAACGGTTTGGTGCCTGAGGCAGAATATGGTGACAGTTACGTCAGGCATTAACCCCAATACTCCCCTTGACAAAATAACCAGTTTCTTTCGAAAGAATATTACCCGAGAGGCTTTTGGCTGCAGGAGTCACTTCCAGATTCTTCTTCTGATGATTTTTGGGCGGTCAAGGCACATCGGCTTTGTCGCCGAACACATCAGCACGCAACCGGAAATGACACTTTTAACTTCGCCGACCTCAGCCCAACCCACAAGAAATTACTCCTTCGATGCCCAAGGCATACGCAGCACAGATCGAAAAAGACGGCATACCCCTGAACCGGCATTGTTCGTTTACTCTATGTGGAGCGCTTTCGGAACCTCTCTCCGAGAACAAAATACGTCGAGCCCACGCTGTGCGGAATAGCCCGTTCCCCGTTGACCCCAGCATTGGCGTCCCCGCTACAGGGAGCTTCTTCAAACTAAAAATCAGCCGTAGCTCGATCGGGTCTATGCAAATTACACATATCATGGGAACAAGTGCTCGTCAGCCCAAAATCGAGCTTGCCCCATTGGTCCTCACTTCCTTGACAGGGAAAACTATCTGACGCAATTGCTAATGTAAGACCAATCAATTGATCGGCAGGATCTTCACGCTTCATTACATACAGAAGATTCAATGTCCAAATCACTAGACGCATGCGGTCGAGCTATTTGCTTCAAGATTTACATGGGTGGGTTTGGATTCCCTTTGTAGTTTCGCAAGCGACGCGTGTGAAGGGTGTGAAAATCGGTCTTCTATGCGAGGTCCCATTTGATATTTCAGACAGTCACAATTCTAGTTGCCACTTTAGCAATCCGCAACTTCTTGGCTCCTGCCTTTTTGCCCAAACAGTTGGAGAAAAGCCGTCCTACCCGATCTAGGTCTACTGATCAACACCACCAAATACCTAATTTGACAGGGAAGGCTTGTCTTTTCTGTATTTTCTAAACCACCCTCGCGTCTCAGCTCGATTTGTCAAAGTTAGGGCGTACCACAGAGATTGCTCTATGAATGTGGAGTTGAACCCACATTAAACACCTTTTACTTGTCTGAGTCAAACATCCACTAATACTCTGTGGGGGTGGCTTTTTCAACTTCTGAACTCTTTATAATTCTTGCAATCCGCCTGGATCTTCATTTAGCGTCCAAACTTTCGCTTTGTTGATAAGCCAAGGCCATCAAGATGTCGGACCATGTGGCTGGCGAGGAAAATGTGCAAAAGGTCATGTCAGCAAGAGGTCAGTCGCCTATACTCTTTGTTGGTGCTTTCTACATTGTATCTTAGAATTTCAAAATGCTGAAATTGTTGTATAGAGCACGTAGTGGCTTCCTCTCACGAGTCACAACACTCCCATGACTCCCATGACTCTCATGACTCCGAAGACCAAGACTCAGAAGTCGATCATGAGCCCATCCAAGAACGTTATGGGAACCCTTCATACTCTAGATTCCGCCGAGTGGCTTCCAAAACGATTGTTTCATTCGGGCTTAATGACCCAGACAACCCCGTCAACTGGAGAACGGTATGTGGGATATTGTCCAATACAAAACAAGGAGAAGAAAAGATTGCTGATGTGCCTAATAGAGGAGGAAGTTCCTTGTTCTCTCAGCTGGTGTCATGCAAGTCATGAACAGCACTATCGGCTCGTCGATTTGTAGCAACGCCATCCCCCAAATTGCCGAAGAGTTCAACATCACCAACGAAACCGCTCTCGTCTTGCCCATCTCCGTCTTTCTCGTCGGATACATTTTAGGGCCATTGCTGTGGGGTCCTAGCTCCGAGTATTTTGGCCGGAAGGGCCCTTTGCTCATCTCTTTTGTCTTATTCATGATATTCACGCTAGCGTGCGCTATCGCAAATTCGTATGCATCTCTGCTTGTATTCCGACTATTCAATGGCATGGTTGCGTCGGCGCCTATCGCCACTGTCGGTGGGTTGTTTGCTGATGTACATGACGATCCCACACTGCGAGGTCGCCTGATGGCTTATTTCATGGCTGTAAGCTTGCCGCATACATCCAACTAGAGATTCTGGGCTCGACAGCTAATTTATTAACAGTGTACAACCCTTGGGCCAATCATTGGACCTTGGGTATCTGGCTTCGTTGCAGTTGTCAGCTGGCGTTGGTGTTTTTGGATCGGACTCATTCTCTCGGGTGCTACCTTGCCATTGATTATCGCCATGCCTGAAACCTATGCCCCGGTCATTCTGAAGCGCCGTGCGCACAAGCTACGCAAAGATACCGGCAATTCAAGCATCGTATCGCCATTGGACCTCCAGAGTCGCAATCTGCCAGAAATGCTGCTTATCACGATCTCGCGACCATTCCGCATGATTATTCATGAGTATATCGTTTCGCTGAGTTCATTGTATCTTGCTCTGGCATACGCAATCTTCTACCTCTACTTTGAGGCATATCCAATTATCTTCCAAGGTCGGCGACCTCTCCCCGCTAGCGTATGCAGAACCCTGTTGGACATAAACACTAACGGAAATCTGCAGGTATCTACAAAATGAGCCCTGGTGTATCTGGCTTGATGTTTCTGCCTAGTAAGTTTGTCGTCCATACGCCATTTCTCCAACAAAAAAGAAGTAGATTCTAATTTCTGTACAACAGTCGGTATCGGCGCCGGGCTTGCCTGTGGCGTCTTCATCTGGTACGATGGCTACCTAGCCCGAGCGAAGGCCCGCAACGCCAGCTGGGCCTTCATCGAGGAATACCGCAGACTCCCCCTCGCCTGCGTCGGCGGACCCCTATACGTGATCTCCCTCTTCTGGATAGGCTGGACAGCCTCGCCAAACATTCACTGGGTCGTACCCTTCCTCTCCGGCATCCCCTTCGGAATGGGCTATCTGTTAATTTTCATGGCTATGCTGAACTACCTGACCGACGCCTACGAAACCCTCTCCGCTAGCGCACAGTCCGCCGCAAGCTGCACACGAAGCATTCTAGGTGCCTTGCTTCCGCTCGCTGCTAAGCCGATGTTCAATCGACTCGGCGTGCCTTGGGCTTGCAGTCTAATTGCCTTCCTCAGTATGGGTGTCTCTGTAATTCCGTTTGCTTTCATTCGCTACGGTGACCGCATCAGAGCGAACAGCAAGTTCTGTCAGGAGCTCAAGATCATGAAGGAGGCTGAGCGCTTGGAATGGGAGCGAGAGGAGCGTCTTGCGAATGGTGATGATACCCTTGAGCCCATTGCGTCCCGCAATACTGGGATTTCGATGACAAGGATCGATACTGCTCGCACGGATAAAGCGTCGATTATTTGTTGAATATGATTAGCGATCGCGTGTCTCATGATTTACCCATCGAGTATTGTCTCGGGGGAAAAAGTTTTTTTTGCGCGTGTTCTGATTATCCCCCTTTGCTCTTTCTTTTTCGATTTTACCGGTTTAGCGCAATTGAAAAGTTGATATACCTAGGTGTCTACATGACGGAGAAAAGGAGTGATCAACAAGAGTAAGATATTGCCGACGATGTTACTAATGATGATCTAATTACTACCATGGATAGCTCCATAAAGATAAAGGGACAAAGCACCAAGCAATAACAGTATGCCCAGATACCGTCGGAAAGACAGAAAAGAGAAAAAAATCAAGGTACAGTATATACTTAGAGAAGGAATCATTAGACTTAAGACACATTAAAAATAAAAAAACATTATAGATACCCTAATAAAGCTACTAGTATAGGAACTTTTTAAGCTAATAAGGAAGAAAATAATAGCTAAGATACCTAATAAGGAAACCTAAGAAGGTGGAAGTCAGACAAAAAAAAAATATCAATAATAGCAATAGCAGTTATTACTAGATGATATAGTTTCTGCCCAATAAAAAAAAAAAAAAAAAAAAAAAAAAAAAAAACAAAATAAAAAAAAAAAACAAAAAAAAAAAAAAAAAATTTAATTTTAAATATTGATAAAACTCAAA